ATTTATATTTTTAGACTTTTTATTTAATTAGGAAGCATATTATGCTAGAGTATTGAATAATACAATCTCCTAGTCTGGTTTATTATTTAATTAAACAAACTACAAGACGATATTTAATAAGAAACCAAAATGAAATATAATAGTGTGGTATTATTATCATTTAGTATAATATATTTGTTATTAAAGCTAATATTTAATTTATTTTATATCAATACCCATTAGAGTTTATTTTCGCAACTATGTTAAAAATAACTTGTATAAGCATTCTTTCTCGGATGCATCAATCATTTGAAATCGATAACTATAATCGGACCATCTGCAATTTTTCTTATCTATCAAGTTGTTAGTCATCCATAAGTCTGCTTTCCATCAAGTCAGAAATCGCCATATTGACCTCAGACCCGAGACGTGACGGCGGAAACATGCTGATCGTAATAAAAAATTCATCTGTTTAATTTTTCGGCGTGGCCCACCTATAAATGCGTCATAAGAGGCTGCAGATAAAACGAGATGATATAATACGACGAAATGAATATGTTTTTGTACTTGAGATTAACCTAACTAAATTATGTTTTACTCAAGTGTGGGAAAACGTTGAAGGCGGCCAATTTAGAATTTGTTAATTTTTTGGCATAAATCTTCAGATAATTGTAGTGGGGCGGGACGGGGGCAAAAGCCTAATGGCTGGGCAATATTTGTGCAAGAGATTGATGAAAAAGCCAAGTCACAGAGCAGGCAAAGCCAAGCCAAAGTCAAAGTTAAATAAAAACAACAGAAATCAAAACATCGGCAAAAGCCCACAAACAAAAAAACAAGACTAAAAATGCTGTGTACAGCGTATGGCAACAAGAAAATGCTGCAGGGAGAAAGACTTTCACCTTTGCGATGAATGATCAACGCAAGAAAGAAAGAAAGAAAAAAAAAGAAGAGTCGCAGCAGCAGCAGCAGCAGCAGAGGCAGATAGAAGCGACGGCCTTCGAGCTGCCATGGACCCGAACTGGAGGCTTAAACGACAACAAAAACAAGTGCCAGACGATGACGACGCCGACGACGGCGATCATCATGAAGCTCATCATCGATGATGATGAAGAAGAAGAAGACGCGGCAACAGCAGCAGCAGACTAAAAGTTTGCGTCAATAAACCTTTAACTCAATGAGAGTTACGCGTCGCGCTTATCACTCGAAGAGCTCAATGGGAATTACTATTATTATTTTGTTTGTTTAGCTTGGATCAACGATCGTTGGATCGTGGATCGTGAAGGCAACTTTTACTTTTCATTCCAGAATGAAGATTTTCTACACACACACACACGTAAAGAAGTGGGCTTATACTTAGAATTTTCGCTTTCTCGTCTTTTTCTCAGCGGATCAAACCCCCACGCAAAACACTTGTCAAGTGCTTCACATGGTGGAAAAAGTGAAAATCATTCATGATCTTCACAGTCTGTCAGCGATGTGATGTTAAGCTGCAATTGGTACAGCTGTGCCCCAGCATCCATTAGTCTTTAACGAACTGTATGCCATTAATAAAATCCACATTTGATTCACATTATCTCCTGCAGATAGCAACAAAAGCAAGGCACACGTGCGGCGGCTATTACACAAATGCTCATTTAATAGATGCCCAAACATCAGACACATCCATAATTCGGATATTACACAACTCATGCAACTAGAAAAAAAGAAGGAGAAGGAGAGGGAGAGGGAGAAGAAAGGCAACAACAACATAAAAAAGGTTTGCAAACAAAATTAAATTAACAAATTGTTGCCCCAAAGGTATTTGCAAATGGTGTCAAAACGTTGTGAGCATCAAAAGACACACATCAATCTGACGGAGGGCAGAAGCTGAGGTAGCTATAACTTAATCAAAATAAATTAAAAGAAAAAAAGTTACATTTAATCAGCTGTAAATTTTATACAGGTGGAACAGCTCATCGCATAAGCAGCTCAACTGGTAAGATTTCTGCTAATTAATTGGTGAATGGAATAAATACTAGAGATAGCTTCGATGATCGCTTGATGAATATATTTTTTAGTTAAATTAGATAATCGTTTGTAAATTAGGATCGATGGCTACAAAGATCTGTGAAATTTGTATGATATAAGTGCGACGAGCAGCTCTTCTGGGTTAGAATATCGAATGAGTGGAATAAATAGCTTTGACGATCTGAAATCGGAACTGTATATTAAACTCATTTAATAGCTGTATATAATATTACATATATAGAAGATTAGAGAGTTGACTCTTACGAAGTCAAGCCCAGATTACACATACAAAGTGTTACCTGCTCTGCAGAACATAATTATGAAATGGATATTATAAAGCTTCAAATGTAGCCTCTGAGCACATCGTGGTCTTTTTTGAGTTTATATGAAACTAATTTACTATATAGTAAGAAAATATGCAAAAATCATAGCCAGTAAACACAGTATTATATAGCAAATCAAAATTCTATTCAGCAAGTCAGAGGATGAATATATTTTACTGCATGCCTAAAAGTATGCTATCCTTTTAATTTTCTTAAAGCGACAAAAAGCTTAACCCTTATCAGGGGCCATGGGGCATGGCTCATTTCATCCCATAGCATAATCCATTTAAAAAGATTGAAGCCAGCAAAATCTTTGTCTGTAAAATTAACATATATATAATAATAAATGCGCAAGTTTTTGAGTACATAAGTTTTTTAAATTTATTTTTCAATTATTGTAATTGTATTGATTACATGTTGTTGTTGTTGGTTTTCATTCTGGTTTCTACACCATTAAATATGATTCATTAATTAAAAATTGATATATTTGTTTATAATTAAAAGTAATTTTTGTTTTTGTGTTTATTTTTTTTTTTATTTTTTTTTTTTTTTAACTCTTCTTCATATAATTTAATACTAAACTTTAAATTCGAAACTCACTTTGTAAATAACGTTTTGCATTTTTTAAATTTTATTTTTTAAGTTTGAAAAATGAATAAACGTCACATAATACATAAAAGAAAAAATGATATAGTAGTAATAGTAGTAGTTAGGCAGAGAAATATATATATTTTGATATATATATATAAGAACATAAATAATACATAAAATAGGCAGAAATTATTGTGTATATAAGCTATATCGTGATATATATATTTATATGTATATATATTCTACGACACTATCAAAGTCATGAGCAAAATTTGCATTCTGTTTACAGTGATATCTAAAAGTACGTACACAAAACATTGTTCATACAGACAGTCTAGGCTCCGACTTATAGTGAGCGGGGGAGGGGAACGTGTTATAAAGAGTATTTGAGGAAGGGGATAGGGCACATTGAGGGGCATCTCTGCTCTTAGCTAACACTCAACTGTCTCAAGAGTGTGTCTGTGTGTGTATATGTGTTTCAAACTTTGATTATAGTAAAATTGTATTTATTTTTGTTTGTTTTTCCATTAATACGATTTACATAGAATTAGTTAAAGTTTCATTTCTTATATATTGTATGTTTTCTTTTTATTTTTTACTTTTTTTTTTGTGTGGTATTGGCAATAAATTGTTGTTGTTTCATTTTATCTTGTTTCTAATCAATAATTACGTAATATTAGTTTATAGTTTAATATAATATGTGTGGTGTGTATACTCATTAGATTATGACATGTTACTTGCACTATGTGTGAGTGTTTTGGACATATTCAATTACAAAACGATTCCGCATCGAGATCTATATCGATTGCGATCTTTCTCAAATTCTCTCATGCAAAATACAAACTTACGTTAAACTTGGTGTCAAACTTGACGCTCAATTGATATCGAACCTAATCCAGTCCTAGGTCAGAATGTTTCAGATAGGCCGTCTATATCTAGCTAGAGATATATATTTATCTATAGTTTATATAATTAACTGGGGTATTTTCGATTTGATAATTTGGTGGGTCTATGAGGCTCCCTAGCAATTGGGAGTTATTTTAGTCATAAAGAGTTCTACATTTGAGCTTTGAATTGATGATGAAACATTCCAACTTATAAATATAGTCACAATCTCTATTTGTAACTAATAACAGCCTTGATACTGTTGCAAAACACATGGAAGCTGTATGGAAATTGTTTACAGATTTTGGAGTTGAATTGCTTACATAATATGCATACATGTGTATATCATATAGATGTATATATATAACTAGGTTATGTTATTCCATTTTATTCATTTTCATTATTATTATGTTAGTTATGACATATCAATTTGATCGTGTTGAATACAGTTTTGCATGAATGCACGTGAAAAGGCGTGGAAGTCGTACGAATACTTTTGGGAGAGAAATACATTTTTAGGAAATACAAATCATATATCAAGCTGTATATGTATATTTTAGCTATGGCAGTAGCAAAAAAAAAAAAAAATCAAATAAAATACAATAAAAATAAAAATCAATGAAATTAACTGAGAATACTGCAAGACTGTTGCAAGTGTGTCTGTGTGTGTGAGTGTGAGTGTGTATATATCAACTATATATCATATAACTATATATATTTATATATATATATATTTCGCATATTTCATAAATGTCTGTTTGCAACCGGATAAAGAGAGACACACTTAATACACAATACACATACATATATAGACCTAAATACGTACATACATATATATACACATATATATACGCATATATACATGGATACATATATGTATAGCTAAACATTTACAGCTAGGTTTTTGTGGGCCGGCAGCAGCAGCTGCCTACTATTCCTCCCGCAGATCAGCGCACTGCTGTGGACGCCACTTCTAGCTCCAGAAGTCCATCATATTGACCAGCTTGCACTTCTTCAGCTCGAGCTTGGTGGGCCGCGCCCTAAGTCAAGCCCGCCCAAAGATCGCCCGGTCGGAGACATCGCCCGTGGACTGAGAGTGTGACATGGCCACATTGGAGCCGGCACCTGTTATCTGGCCACCCACCTGGCCCACGCCCACGCCCACGCCATGATGATGATGATGGTGCGTGGCCGTGGCAATCGTCGCCGTGGATGCATTGTGATGCGTCACATTGTGATGATTGTGCGCCAGCGTTGAGCTGCCGTATTTGCTGCTGCTGCTGCTCCCATTGATGTTGCCGTTGCTGTTGCTGTTGCTGTTGCTGTTGCCGTTGGTCGTGTTGCTGCTGCCATTTAGATGCTTCCTGGTGGCGGCCGAAGAAACGTGGTGGGTGCTGCCGCTGCCCACGCCGCCGCAGATGCGATGCAGCGAGTACTGCTGCTGCACCGACTCCAGATCGGAGACGCTCGAGGTGATCTTGGAGCGCACGGCCACCTTCTGCATGCTGTTGTATTTGTCGCTGGCGCTGAGCTTGATGTCGGGCAGGTGGCCGTTCGACTGGGCGTGGCCGTGGGCATGGCCATGGCCATGGGGCTGACGGGAACTGCTGCTGCTGGTGATGGACTTGGTCGTGATGGCCGCATTGCTAACGGCTGTGGTGCTCGTTATGGAGGCAACCACTGGCCCGTTGCCCGGCGAGATCTCTGCAAAGTTGTAGCAGGAAGACTTCTGGGAGACACTGTTCAGGCCCGAGCTGGACGAGCTGGTGGACATGCGGCAGCTGCGATGCCGACTCGACGCCGATGGCTGCAGGAACTCATGATGGGCGGCCTCATCGGGCGTCATCCGCTCCGCGGGATCCCACGCCAGGCACCGCTGCAGAAAGTCTATGAAATAGCGATCCTGACAGTGCAAAATCTGTGACAGCGACTTGCTGCCCGGCGACCGCTTGCGGCCCTTCGTATTGGTTATGCAGCGCGGCGCATCGCGCGAGTCGAAGAAGAGCCGGCTGCGGCGAGCCACCGAGATGAGCACCTTGGGCGGCAGGCCCAGCACCTCCATAATGCAGGCCAGCTGCTCCACCTCGTTCTCGCCGGGGAAGAGGGGAAAGCCCGTGTACAACTCGGCCAAGATACAGCCTGCAAAATACGAAAGTTGTCAAAGTAATTAGTATTGATTTCAATGCGCTGTAAGTGAGACAGAAGCGGGTATATTGGGCGGGTGAGTAAAGCTAATGGACTTAAATTATAGATTATATATACTTTAAGTTAATTTACATTTATTTTTTATTTTTGATTTTACTTTAAAGCTCAGAGACAGCTGCTTGACTAGGAAGCTATAAAAAGTAGAGGGTATTAGATAGGAGAGCAAAGAATCGGTGGGAAGAAGAGCTGGACATACTGAGTCCATCTCAGAGGCAGCTGTTTGACCCTGAAGCTAAACGAGGTATTTTCTACTCGTACGAGGTATTACGACTAGAAAAGTAAGGGGCATCTATTTGGAAGTTAAGTAAAGAGAGAGTAACAATATTATTAAAGGAGACAGAATATTTTATAGTCGTACAGGGTATTAAGTAGGTGAGCAAAGGCTCAAGTTATACAGAAGAAATTGACGTAAAGTGTCCATAGAATCGCAGAGTGAGCGGAAATATTGTGAATTAATATAATATAATATTGAGACAGGGTATTTTCCAGTCGTCCAGTCTGGCTTCTGGCATCGCTCTCACTTGTCACACATCAGTCCCAATGTCGTTTAGCTGCAGTCATTGTGGTTGCCAGAGAGAAATTGAGTGACCTTGACTCTGAACCTTCTCCGGGACAAACACGTGCCCGAGCTTGACCGCAGGACACACAGTTTACAGTTTACAGTTTACATTTGGCAGTTCATAGTTCATAGTGCGGCACAGTTGAGGGACTCTGGGGCATTATTTATTTGCTGCTGCAAAGGGCTTAAGTGGCTTTTCAGGGCTGTGCAAGTGCAGCGCGCGCATTATTGATTCGATTGTCGAGGGACAAGCCGATGCATTGGGCAAACTTGATTTAGGAATGCGGCTACTGAGTCATCAGATGACTCGAGGAGTCTGGGTAAATAGATGAGATGATGACAGTGATAAATTATTTATAATATACGAGAATATAACAAGCAATATCCGAGTTATTTAAGCTTAGTTCTATGGTTTCTGTCTTTAAAGTGAATCCAGTAATCGAAATCTTCGTTTACTTGCACACAATTTCTATCTGGCTGCATTATTTTCTAGAAGCACGCAAATTATTGATTTTATATAATGGATATTATAGGTCTACCCATAGCTTTTATCTACATTAATATTATGTTGTTTATTTTCAGTAAACCCTTTTATGTTTGCTCTTTATTAATTCAACTCCATGGAAACTGAACAAGGAAGTATTTCAATTCAATTCTTGATCTTAAAGTTTACCAAATTATTAATAAGGATATTCTCCATTCTAGAAACGGCCAAAGAACGCTCCACTGTCAACTCTATAGCCTCCACTAAACAAGGAACTTGCACTATGTCAAATTTATTTATATATAATTTAAGATTGTTTAAATATTATTACTGCTATTACAATTTAAGATTTAGTTACTTATTTGACATTTAATTAGAAATTAATTTGAGCTTTATCTGACTGGAAAAACTTTGGATTAACTATGATGATTATGACTACAATTGCTCCACTTTCATCTTAGCCTGATTTCCGTTGGAAACATTGAATTTAGCTACATCTTAATTCTGCTTTAGCTAAGTTAGATCAGTCCTAATTGGTATTAATTTAACTGAAAATCTTTCGACTAAGTTCTGTCAGCCATAATTAGTATTACTTGGAGGTTCAACAGTGACCATGATTTTCATTAAGAGAGACAGTTCTTCTAGCTATCAATGTGTGTGTGTGTGTGCGCGTGTCTTCCTATTAATTATCTTCTATTCTTCCAAGCACAGCCATTACTTCCGTATCAGTTGAGCCTGCAGTGCATTGCGCCTGCCTTGTCTCATTATGCTTCACCTATTTGGCTGCCAAATGGCAGTGTTCAATTGCTGCACACGGATATCGCGTTGCCCCTCCACCTCCCACCCCTGGCCAGACGGCAGCGCAGCGCAGCCAAGTGTAAAAACACGCACTATGCCAATTAGCAGCAACAGGCAAAAGGAGAGCCGAGAGCCAAGATAGAGATAGAATGAGCAGGTAGAGCAAGCAGTAGTCGAGCGGGGCGGGGGCGGAGGGGCACTCAACAAGTGAGGCAGGCGCGGCTAGAAGTTTATGTCTACAACAATATTGCCGGCCCCTTGGCTGCCCTGCCCTTAGCGCTGTGAACGTTGCTTCCTGTGGCGCCCGCCCTCGCCCTGCTGCCACATATCCTTTTAGCGGCCATTTCCGACTACGACCACGTCCGGTCAGCAGCAAAAAAATATATATGTATATGTATAGATATATCGTGAGCTAAGCGCTTCGCACGCTCACAACTGCCTCATTAAATGTGCACAAAACGTGAGATATAATGGATATTTCTGTGTGCGTGTGTGTGTATGTGTGTGTGTGGGAAGGAGTCTAATAAAAGCTAGACTGAGTTTATTTTTAGCCACTGTCCTCCTGACTTCTTTACGAATGAAAGCTCATGCGGGCGCTCACTTATTTGACTTACTGTGCTCACAGCAAATGGGTTACGTGTTGAATAATGTGACTCTTAGAGCAGACAGCTAGGGGCATGCCTCCTCTGCTATCTGTGCCACCTGGTATAATGTGTCAAGTACTGAATGGGCGTTGAAAGGGATCAGACCAGGTGAAAGTGAAGCAACTATTTTCCTTTTGAATATTTAAGCAAAATATTTGTTTATCCTGCTTTAAAATAGATGTTACGCTCAGAAACATTATGCCACTCAAAGCTACCGAAGTAATTTCTGATGTGTGATCACATAACATTATTTGACATAAATAAAATAAAATTTAATTTTATATACTTTTTTTTTACTTTTTTTTTTATTTTTATGGAATTCGCAAAGTAAATGTAAAAACAACTGAAATATTAGGCGAACAGAAGTGGCTAGAAAGTAGCTGGAAGGCTCTTGAAGAATCTTATTGCATACCCGCTAGAGCTGTTTGAGCCTAATCTTAAATTGAGTATATTATGTATTGAGCGATATTTTTGAGTCTGGGATATAACTGTTATCTACGTCCGCCATTTACGTTCTTCCTTGTAGTCGTGCTTACATTATAAATAAATAAAAAGCAAATAGCCCGATATAATATTTTATTTTGGCTTTTTTTTATTTGCCTTCTACTTTTTAGTTTACGTTTTTATTTGGGTTAGATAAATTTTTCGCAAACATATGAACAAAATACCAGGTGAACAGAAATGGTTAGTTAGAAGAGCTGTGAAAATGTTTATTTTTTAGTCTAATCTCAAATTGAGTCTATAATGCATTGAGCGCTAATTTGAGTATTCAGGATATAACTGTTATCTATATCCGCCATTCCTTCCTTCCTTCTAGTCATGTTTATATTTTTTTAAATTCTACTTTTTAATTTAAAATTTTATTTGGGCATGACACATTTTTGCGTAAGAATATGAACAAAATACCAGGTGAACAGAAATGGTTAGAAAGTAGCTAGAGGAGCCGTGAATTATATTTTCAGCTTAATCTCAAATTGAGTCGATTATGCCTTGAGCGCTATTTTGAGTCATTTTGATATGACTGTTATCTACATCCGCCATTCACGCTCTTTCGCGCGATTTGTGTGTTCTTATAAAGTTTTTTAAAACAGAATAATAAAAATAAGTAAAGTTATAAAATTTAATCAATATTGCACAAAAATCTGAACAAAATACCAGGTGAACAGAAATGACAGGAAACAACTGAAAAACGATTGCAATTGAGTCATCGACTGAGTGTTTTTTTTTTTTTGGGAATAGAACCGTTATTGACAGCGGCCATTATCGCTTTTGTCTTGGATCTCCAATTACAGTGCGACAAGTACAAATATTACATGAGCAAGGGAGTCAACTATATATACGTTATTATGCTCTCGTTCTATTGGCTGCTAGGCAGGGATAACAGCACAGACAGAAAGACATTTTCATATCGAGTAGGAGTTCCAGACATTACCGCTTTCTCTTTTGATCTCCTTTCTAAGTTAGCATAGCAGAATGAGCAGTGTGGATAATATACATGTTCATACATATGTAGTATGTATGTATGAAGTTTGAGTAGGTCAACTGTTAAACGATGAGTACACTGTGTTGGAAGTTTAACAGAAAACATGTATGCATATCTGTATATGTATTTATATGAATATTATTGTTGCATTTTTAAGGTAATGAACGTATAGTAAAATATTTATGCCTACATTACATATATACAAAATATTAATTAAGTGGGAGGTTCAGAAGAAAATACCCTAAATGAGTATGGGGTTACTAGGTAGCGAGCTTTTATCCACCTTTAAGTATTAACAGCTGAGGAGACAGCTTAGTTATCCGAGTTATCCACACGCGCCATTACCACCACTGAGCCTTTAAATAATGCGCCATTACGCTCTTGCTTTTGATCTCCTCTTATGTTCTCATGCAGAACAGCATGTGAAACGTAAGTGTGAATAGCTCGGCTGCTATGCTAGGATTACAGCGCTGCCAGAAAGGCGCTCACCAACTGAAATCGCTGCTGAGCTAGTTTAGAATGAACTGTAAAGCTCAACCGCCATTAACACTCTTGCTTTTGATCTCATTTATGCAGATGTTAGAGCTGCAGAGTAAGTAGCACAGATGAGGAGTGAGTGTGAAGAGGTCGGCTGCTAAGAATTGAGTGAATTTCTGTGGAGAGTGTACTCCTATAGGAAATAACTGTTATTCACAATCGCTCTTGTGTTTTATTTTGTTTACATATGCGTGTGTGTATTGCAGAACGAGTGCTAACGTGAGAGAGAGGGAGTCGACAATATTTATTGGTTTGATCTCGCTTTATATATTTGTGCTGTTACGCGAGGAGTGTAAACAGTGAGTGTTAGCCAGAGCGCTTTGAGTTGCTGTTTAATGACAACACTTGTTTATCGTACGCGTCTGATTAATGAGGCGATTTACTTTACGCAGCTCTGCTGATTGGATTGGTTGCTAGATGCACGTGCGTATTTTAAACGCAGTGCTTTAATAAATAATTATTGTCGTTTAAATTTTACAGAGTCCTCGCTTTGCCAACTTCCATGTCAATGGTTAAAAATGGCAAAGCCACGTAAAGCCCGTTGAAAAGTCGCACACGGCAAATGTCATTCGCATGACCCACTATTAAAAGGGCTAACCCTCTTTTTGCAAATACACTCGCACAAATGCCGGCCACATGCAGCGTGGCCATAAAACTGTGTATAAAATATTTAAACGCTGTATATAACCACTCCTACACACCACCCTCCCACGCAGTTATTTATAGGTGCAACGTGTGTGCGACTGTGAGTCTCTAGCTATAAATTTGCCTGGCAAATGCAGAAGGAAAAACCATTTAAAAATTCATTTTCATTGCAATGGGGCGAATGTGGGCGGCGCTCGTTGTACAGATATTGCGAAATGTGCTTTAATTAAAATCGAAAGCCCAGATCCAATCAATTCACTTACCCAAGCTCCACATGTCGATGGCGGTGCCATATTGCAGGCCCAGTATCACCTCCGGGGACCGATAGAATCTCGACTGTATATAGGTAAAGATTTTGCGATCCCCATAGCAGGAGCTGCCAAAGTCGATGACTTTGATTGAGCTGCTGCCGCGCTGCTTCAACAAAATGTTTTCCTGATGGCGAAAATTTCAATACAATTTTAATTAAAATTCAAGCACTAAATAAATCAAATAAATCATCTGTTTACTGACCGGCTTGAGATCACAGTGTATGATATTCTCTTTGTAGAGCAAACGCAGGCATTTGACAATCGAATTGCAGAAGCGTCTGATCAGACTCATGCTGAAACCGTTGTAGTTGTTCTTCTTGATCAGCTCGTACAGATTGAGACTGCAAAGAGATAGAAAGAGAAAGAGAGAAAGTTAGATAGATCGATTAAAAGACATGACTCAGCTGCGCAACCCCAATCGATTGTTTACTTTAGTAAACTATTGGGACTTTGGCATCAACAAAAAAAAAACAAAAAAAAAAAAAAAAAACGCCAGGCAAGCGCCGGCCGCTTAAAGCCCACAACAACGATAAAAATAACATGCATTGAATTAATTTGCATTGCATGTCGCACACAAATTTGGATATATGACGATAACAGGCAACAACAACAACAGCGAAAGGCGAACAACAAACTAGGGACTGTGGGCGGGATCGAAGCGACAATTTGGCAGACATACAAAAGAGACGTCGAAAATATTTAAAATTTAGACTCTAAGCAGAAGGCAGGCGACGTTGAAAAAGTATATATATTATAAGAAATATATTTAATTTTAGCAGTAGTATTTAATTAGTATTATATTATTTCTACCAAAATATAAAATAAATAAATAAATATGTAAAATGAAAATCATATCAATAATCAGTCAAAGGAACAGCTAATATAAATATTATTAATTATTATTAACAGATTATTTTAACCAATTTAATATTGTAAAAATAATAAGTTACAATAAAATCCTGAACGTTCTCATATCTTCCAAATATTTCTATAACATTTTTACAAATCCAATAAATTTCAATAAATTCATAAAAATCTTAAAAATATTTTTATATAAATTCTGCAAAAGTATTATTATTATAAAAATTCTATAATAATGATAATTATGACTATGATGAAATGGTAATGAGTTTCTTTACTCTTGAACATTTTAAATATTCCCAATATTATTATAACTTATAATTTTTGTAGAATTTTTATAGCTAATTCGTTTGCCTTTTCTGACTCGAATTCTTTGAAATCAATGTAACATAACTCCATAAAAGTCATACAATATAATAATATTTGTCAACTAGTGAAATAGACTAGAGACTTGACTAACCTATATATACCATACGAAGTGAGAGACTATTGTCAGCAGATAGTCTGGCACTCAGGATATCTCTTAGTTGTTCCCCTACTCTACTGTCTCTCGCTATAGCTATTGAACTCTTACTTATTTATAAATGCCTTTGTTTTAATCACCAATTTTAGTATTCTATCCCACTGTGCATTGCCGTTTCCAGCTCCGTTTTGTTGCTCACAATTTGTATTTACTTTTCTGCGCTTTTTTCGATTTTCAGTTTTTGTGATTAATTAACTGATAACAAGGCTGTTGTTGTCGTTTTTCTGCTGTCCTTCGCTATATTTTTTTGGCCAATGTCATTGCAAACGCTTTTTATTTGCGGTTTGGCTCCCACAACTATTTCCAGCTGAGCGAATTGCTCAAGTTTTGTCAATTTTTGATGGCTGTCAGCTCTTTGGGCTTTTGCGTAGCAGTTGATGAGTTTTTGGCTGTCCCACACACAACCTCATCATCATCAGCGCCATCGTCATCATTATTATTGTGGCATGTGCTACCCCTAAGCTTCTATCATCTCTCTTTGATTGGCACACATTGCTAGTTCTGCTGCTTCTTCTGCTTCTGCTGCTGCTGCTGCTGTTCGCATATCACATTTCACATGCTGCGCTTAGTTATTGAACTCTGCTGACCACACACATTCAGCTGCTGCTGCTGTCATTTCCGGTTCCGYTTGGCGCTGCCTGTGCTGCCCATGTCATCGTCTATAAATGCCATCAATAACTTCATCAAYAGCCGAGCTGAGCTGAGCTGCACTTATTACTGCGATGCTCTGACCTAGAAAGTTGCCAGCCCCAAAGAGATGCCAAAAGTAATAACTGCAAATGGCAGGACATGCTGCGATATTTGTATACGATTTGCTGGTATATATAGGTATTGGTATATATGGTATATATGTGTGTGTGTGTGCTTAAGTAGTTCACTTGGCCAAACTGATGAAATTTGAGCTAAGCTTAAATTGAGCAAAGTTGCCCTAATGGAAATATGAATATGAAGTAGTTTAGTCTGTGAACTTTGGGGAAATGTTTTTGATTGACTGACGAAAATGAACTATGGAACTTTGCGAGAGATTAAAATAATCAGACTTTGTTCAAGACAGGAGCCAAAGCTGCATGAACTGTAAAGTTGCCAAATAACTAAATGTGGCATCATAGTTTTAGTTAACTTTAGACATTTCAATTTTTTATTATATCATATTAGTATCAGATATACTTTACAAATTGCAATCCTGCTTCAATAGGTAAAAGTCGCTTCAATCTTGTTTAGCATAAATAAAATAACTCTTTAAGTAGGCTTAGCTCTTCCATCCGCCTATTTACATCAATTATGATGATTGCTGTTCGCATTTCGACAAGCTCAAGCTCATGTTAAACATGTACTAAAGTCTAAGCCAATTAAGAAACGTTTCTTATCTTGTCAGACAACAAGTCATAAGCAAAAGAGAGAGGAAGAATGTGAAGGCGAGGGTAGCCAGAGATTTTCTGGTGTTATGCTGAGACTTTAAGATCTAAAGAGAAAAGACAGGAACATTTATGCCTAACATAGATAAAATAACATAGATAACGTACATAAAGTACATTACATATACAACATATATCAAATACATACTATTGATAAAATAACATAACATAGATAACATAACGCTTATAGCATACATAAGATATATAAGATACAGAACATTGATAACATATCATAACATATGTAAAGTTACATAACATAATTAACATAACATAACATATGCAAAGTTTAAAAACTTTAAGGTCACATTTTAAGTGTGAATGGCTTTAAAGAGTATTGTTGTTGTTGTTGTTGCTGTTGTTGTTGGCCAACATCTATTGATTGACGTCGCATAACAAACCAATAAGAAAATCATCAAAATGTCATAATTTCAATCGAGCGGGCCAAAAAGAGCAGAGCCACTGCCATCGAATGGCATATTATAACTGCATTATGACATGCCACATGCCTATCGACGACACGGCCAATGTCAAGAGCGAGACAGCAACAGAGGGCGAGAGCGAGAGAGCGAGTTTGGTGTACTTTGGCTGCTCATGAACTTGAAAATGGTGCTGGCTCTGCAACTATTTGCATCTCCCTTTCTCTCTCACTCGCTTTCTCTCTGTAATTTGATTGATTTGCCAGCTGCTTGCAACATGAACCTGTAACGAGCCACTAATGCAAGCATTTAGCGCCCCAAAATGTCATTGTCTAAGCCATAGTCCCACGCCCCCGCCATAAACTAAACTAAACTAAACCAAACAACATAAACTTTCGAAGGTTGCCCTCAGCTGCAGCATAGAACTCGCTTGGCTTTGCCTACTTTTTGGCGGCCTGTCAATTGGCCGCAAAATGAATTCGTTTCGCAACGCAAAATGGTGTCACCACAAAATTTTCACTGCACCAAAATGGAAATTCGATTTGTTTTTTTTCTGTTGTGTTGGTTTTTGCAAATTGATTGACGACCAAGCCGGAAGCACTGGTCGACTGTTGAGAGTGGCGAAATCCAGAGATTTGCATAGCGAATAGATGGATGTGGGCAGCTGTATATATGAATCTGAAATTTATTTACCTAGAAAGAGAGATTTACAATCGTATATTTAGAGCTTTGAGTTGTTCCAGAGAAGGAACAAAGATACAAGAGCCAGTTCACTTAAGCAGCTCATAAATATTTCGTATCACTTAGCTGCTCATTCATTCATGTTCAATAGCACAATTAGCTCAAGGTGGTTCTATGGAAGAAGTAGTTCATGAGCTACTTATTCCTCAGCCATTCACAGCTCATCGAACAGCAGAGTTCATTCTTTATTACTCATTCACTCATTACTCATTACTCATTCTTCATTGATCAATGAACAGTTCATGCGAATTCCCACTCAGACAACGCTTAGCCGTTCAGCCCTATTGAGTGCTTAAAAAACGAGCTCTTTAATATACCAATTATAGCCTATGGTTCAGCGCCTTCAGGCAACAAGCTATAGACTCGTTATCCCACTCTTTCACTCTCTATCCTCCTCCCCCTCTCTCTCCTCCGGTTAGCCTTTTGTTTGGTTTACTAATTAATGATGCTGTCCCTGGTTCAGCGACAACGACCTTGATTTGGTTAGACTAAGCGCCCGACTGTCACATTGACTCAAGGCTGAATATCCCCGGCATATTTATGTGTGGGCGACTCGCATTTTAATTAGTGCAAAGCATTCGCTGCCTTAGCACGGCTTGACACTGAATAGAATGGAATGCCAAATAAATACTAGACATAAAATATTTAAAGAGATTGCACTGGCATCAAATGAACACGATAAATGCTTGCTGTCCTTGCTGAAAGCTTCCAGGACCTGCACTGCTAGGAAACTTCTTCACTTAAATCAAATTGCCAAATTATGAAATGTATGGAATTAGCTATTTTAAAAATTTATAGTTTGACATTTATATACTTAGTACTATAAATTAATTT